AAAAGCCGGAAGTGGCACTGTGGCTCAAGTGGTAGAGTGCTAGCCTTGAGCTGAAGAGCTGAAGGACAGCGCCCAGGCCCAGAGTTCAGGCCCCACTACCAGACCACCCCCCCAAAAAAACCCCACAAAAAACTAAGGAAGAGTGCCCAGACCCGAAGTTCAAGCTCAAGTGTCATGTGCATGACACATGTACACGTATGTGCACATACACAAACACACACGTGCATGACAGTGATTCAGAAGGGATAGGCTCCAGGGTAGATGCTTGATTAGGAAGGAGGAGTGGTGATCATTTTTCAGACTTTGTGTTTGGGATAGTGAGGTGGCCTGGCCATCAATCAGCATCTCACATCCATGCTTTCACCCTCACGCCTGGGGCTGTGCCTGGTGCTCAGGCTGGCACCCAGGCGGGCTCATGTCCTGCCCTGCATGGCCGAGGCTGCCTTTCCCCATGGCCCTGTGAGCTGCCTTTCCCCATGGCCAGGGAGAAGCGGGTGGGCACCGACCTGGTACACGACGAGGTGGAGCAGGAGCTGCTGAAGGAGGTGGAGATCGTGCAGGGTGTGATGTCGCTGCTGACCCGTACGCTGGAGGAGACCACAGAGCAGATCAGGTAGGGCCCAGCCAGCGCCCTCCACCGCGGGGGTGCAGTGGGCACCCCAGCCTACCCCCCCTCGTGCTTCCCGTGAGTGGCACCATGCCCACGCACGCGCGACAGCAGGGCCCACAGCTCACACAGCGCTCAAACCTGGCCAAGTCAGGAAATGTCACTGCTGATAGCGACCATGGCTCGCGCCTGGAATCCTTGTGACCCTGAGGCCAAGGCCTGAGGATCACAGTTGGAAGCCGAACCAGGCAGAAAAGTCTCTCATTATCAATTAACCACCCCAAAGCCCAAAGTGAAGGTGTGGCTCAAGTGGTAGAGCACCAGCCTCAAAGGAAAAAGCTAAGGGACAGTGAGCACTCAGGTCCTAATTTCAAGTCCCAGTATTGTCACAAAAAGGAAGGAAGGGAGGGAGGGAGGGAGGGAGGGAGGGAGGGAAGAAGGATGGAAAAGCAAATGTCCTGTAGAAGGGAGGATCTTGTGGTCTAGGCTTCCTTGTGTGTCAGTGTGGCATCAAGCCTCCAGTGGTATGGCATGGGTAAGCAGGGCTGGTGGTGGGGAGGATGAGGTGGGGGAAGGGGAGGACGAGGGAGGAGGGGACGGTGCCTGGCTCCTCAGTGCCCTGCCTGGCTTCAGCTGTGTTCCTTTCTCCTCCCCTCCCCCCCCCCCCCTCCCCCAGCCCCCCCCCCCCCCCCGCCCCCAAGAACCAGTGTGTGGTGCTAAGGCTGGGCAGCGGGGGAGACACCTGGCTCCCTACCTTCTCTCTGCAGGCTCAACCGTTCTGCTAAGTACAATCTGGAAAAGGATTTGAAGGACAAATTTACAGCCTTGACCATCGAGGACATCTGCTTCTCGATCAACAACAACTCACCAAACATCAGATATTCCGAGAATTCCCTGAAGGTTGAACCCAAGTAAGTGGGGCTCAATTTGCTTCCCTCCACTCACCCAGATGGGCAGGATCCAGTAGGGAGGCCCCACCATCTGGTGGGTCCTACCTGATGGGGTCTAGAGGCTCCTGTCCCCTTAAGAAAGCCTGACCTGGCTGAAGGTGCATGATGCACATAAATGTACATGGTAACCTGCAATCCTTTGGACAATAATTTGAAGAATAAAAGAAAAATGATGAATTCTGCTGGTGCCAATGGCTCACACCTGTAATCCTAGCTACTCAGGAGACTGAGATCTGAGGATCAGGGTTCAAAGTCAGCCTAGGCAGACAAATCCAAGAGACTCTCATCTCCAATTAACCAGCAAACAACCAGAAGTGAAGGTGTGGCTCAAGTGGTAGATTGCCAGCCTTGAGTGAAAAAGTTAAGTGAGAGCTTGAGGACCTGAGTTCAAATCCAGATCCCCTCACTTCTCTCTTTCACACACACACACACACACACACACACACACACACACACACACACACACACCTGAAAATGAGCAATGAAAACAAAGGAAGTCTGGTATACCTTGAAAGATTTAAAATTTATTCATGCTTGTAATTCAAGCTCCCGGTGAGGCAGAGATTAGAAGGATGGAAGTTTAAGGCCAGGCTTGGCCAAAAGTTTGAGAGACCTCATCTCAACTAATAGCTAGGCATGTTGGCATGTGCTTTTCATTCCCACTGAACAAGAAGTATAAATAGGAGCCAAAAATAAGCAAAAAATAACAGCTAAAACAAAAGGGCTAGGGATGGTGGCTAGCCTCAAACTTGTGATCCTCCTATCCCGTCCTCTCTTGCCCCTTCTGCTCTGTGGATATGTCTTTTATCCTCTACAAATGTAGCCATACTCCTACTTTCTAGTAGATTTTCTTTGCCTGCTTATGAAATAGCATTGCACACTGTATCCTGTGCATGTCCTGTTTACTCTAGTTAGCACTGTTCTGAGAGTCACTAATGTTCACAAAAAAAATCATCATGAAATGCCAACGTATTCATTTATGTGGATGCACAACTTCTATCACTAGCCAAGTATATTGTTATTGACAGACTACTGTTGACTCTGCCTAGAGGTAGAAGAACATTTCTGGGGCTTCTGAGGTGTGGGGGCAGGCTTAACTCCTAGTGACTCCCAGAAACCTGTCCTCCTCCCAGCCCTCCTGAGCCCGGACATGGCATGAACACTTGTGTGTATGTGTGTGTGGGGGTTCTTTCAGCTCCGTGAGTCTGGAGGACTGGCTAGAATTCTCCAACACCAATGTGGAGAAGGCGGACAAGCAGCGCAACAACTCCCTGGCCCTGAAAGCCATGGTGGACCAGATCTTGTGCCAGACAGCCAATGACCTGCGCAAGCAGTGTGACTTGGTGGACACAGCATTCAAGACTGGCCTCAAAGCAATCAAGGGAGCAAGAGACAAGCTGTCTGATCATCTGACCTTGGTGAGGCCCCTAGGAGTGTGGAGGAGTGATGTGAGGTTTCCATGGAAACGAGAGTGCCCTGGGCCAGGCTGCTGCCCCACTGGGTTGAGGTGGGATGGGGATGGCTGGTAAGAAGTGGTGGTTTGAAGTCTCTCCATCTTAGCAGCAGGCTGCAGGATTTGGAGACTGGAGTGGCACTTGGCCCACCCAGTAATGCAGAGGGGAGGAGACAGCTCTATACCCAGCTATCTGCTTAGGTAACCTTATGCAGGAGGTTGAGATCTGAGAATCAAAGTATGAAGCCTACTGGGCAGGAACTTACTGTCCATTAAAAAAAAAAAGGGTGGAAAGGTGGCTCAGTGGTAGAGCACTTGCCTTGCATGCCTGAGGCCCTGGGTTCGATTCCTCAGCACCACATAAGCAAAAAGAAAAAAGCCGGAAGTGGCACTGTGGCTCAAGTGGTAGAGTGCTAGCCTTGAGCTGAAGAGCTGAGGGACAGCATCCAGGCCCAAAGTTCAGGCCCCATGACCAGTCTCCCCCCACAAAAAAGCACTCAACTTGCTGACTCATGCCTGTCTGTAATCCTAGCTACTCAAGAGGCTGAGATCTGAAGATCAAAGCCAGCCTGGGCAGATAAATCCAAGAGATTCTTGGCCCAAGTGGTAGAGTGCTGACTTTGAGCAAAAAAGCCAAGCAAGAGGTACTGAGTTCAAGTCCCAGTACTGACACCCATCCTACCCCACACATGCATGCACACATGGACACATGTGCGCACACATGTCATCCTTCGTGTCTGCAAAGAGATTGTCCCCCCCTTCAATGCCACAGCTCCTGGAATGTTCAGTCCCTTGTATTACATTGGATAGTATTTACAAAGAACCTACACATACACTCAGCTTTGAATGCCTTATTATATCTAATGGATATGCAAATTGTTGTTCTACTGTATCATTTAGAGGAAAATGGCAAAAATGTCTCTAAGAATCAATTATTGACTTTATTTTATTCCCTAATCCCTTCACACTGATAAAACATGCTGCAGAAAGACAAATAATTTTACACGAGTTTCTCTTCTTCTGGTCACACTTCCTTAATTGCTGTGGTCAAATATGATTGAGTCAATTAGAAATGGTTGTTTTTATATGGCTAGCAAATGAATTAGTTGTTACTTTAATTTGATCACTACTTTGTTTTCATTTTGAGATACTCTGTGATGAGATACTCCATTTGGAATTTTCTAATTTTACTGGTCATTGCTTTCTTATGAGCTGAGAGTACTGTGATGCATGTTTAGTCTGATAATATTTGAGCTCAGCAACAGCGTCATTGAATAAGATATTCAGTTGCTAGACATCTAGTTTGGTAACAAAACCTAAACTATACTGGGCCTTAAAAACTAATTCTGGGTGCAGGCTGTTCACACCTTGTAATACCTGCTACTCAGGAGGCTGAGATCTGAGGACCAAAGTTCAAAGTCAATCTGGGCAGAAAAATCCCTGAACTCTTTATTTCCAAACCAGCAAAAAGCCAGAAGTGGAGGTTTGGCTCAAGTGGTAGAATGCTATCCTTGAGCAATAAAAGCGTGCTTACGTGCGTGTGCGCACACATGCGCGTGTGCACACACACACACACACACATACACAAGCATGTGAGTTGGAACTAGCAGATTCCTCTGCCTTTCTGCCTTTGGGTGGGAGGGTGCCAAGGCGCGTGCGCCCTCTGGTGGGCGCCATCATGCAGCACAGCGAGCTGTCCTTAACAGACAGAAACTTGAGCTTCCTTGACCTTAAACTCCCATGCCTATAGAAGTGTGAGAAATACGTTTCTATTCTTCATACATTACCTAGTTTCAGACATTTGTAAACAGCAGATGAACTGGAATAAAATGTACTGGTGATAAAACAGCAAAAGTAAGATGTCATCGTGTGGTGAAATAGTGCATTGCAGCCATGTCACGGTGATTTCAATGTGGCCAGTATTTTGAATCAATGACAGCACACAGAGTCTGTTAACTCTGCTCATGTCTGTGTCTCATGCAACTGTATTTATGGACACTAAAAGTTGAATTTTATTTTGAAGTTTGCACAAACAGATGGCAAACATTTTGGGGCAAAGGGCACAGTTTGCTGATTTCTAGTCTATTAGTATTGTTTTAAGGAATTCTAGATTTCAGAAAAATATATACTTGGGCTGGAGGTGTGGCTTAGAGGTAGAGTGCCTGCCTAGCAAGCATAAAGCCCAGAGTTCAAACCTCAGTATCATAAAAAATAAAATACATTTTATAAATGCCACTCTAAATAAATGTTCAAAAGATTTTTAGCAAAGTTTGAGGTGAGAGTAACTGTTAGTCAAAATCAAGTTAAAGTGATTAACCCTGTGAAATTAAAACTAATATAAGTGAACTGAATTTAATAAGTAATTGGAAATGTTAAGAAAAAATTTTTAAGAAAACCAAATACAATGTGTGGTTTTCATTTTGGGTTCTATCTTGAATAGATCAATTCTTTAAATACAGCCAATCAGAGATTAAAACACTATTAGATGACAGCAAGGAATTATTCTTTATCCCTCCCTCCTTTCTTCCCAGTGTGATAAAGGTATTGATTATGAATCAGGTGCTAGTGGCTCATGACTGTAATCCAAGGTCTTCAGTAGGCTGAGATCTGAGGATTGAAGTTTGAAGCCTGACTGAGAGATCAAAAAAAAAACCCCAATTAACCAGCAAAGATCTGGAAGTGGATGTTTGCCTCAAGTGGTAGAGCACAAGCCTTGAGCAAAAAATAGCTAAAGGAGATTGTCCTTACCCTAAGTTCAAGACTCAGTACTGGTTAAAAAACGATTCTTTGGGGGGGGGCTTTTCTGAGGATGGAACCCAGGGCCTTGCAAAATTTGTGGGCTTTTGTGGGCCATTCTAAGAATCTTGCATATGTGCTCAGGCAAGTGATCTACCACTGAGCTAGAACTACCAGCCCCAACCCTAACTATTGATCTCAGAAATATTTGTAACTGTGTAATGTGTAATATGTTTTTGGTGCAAAAAGCCACCCTCAAAAATAGCAGCAAAGCTCAATGTACAACATGGCAGACTTTCCCCAGGCTGTCAGCACGTAGAACCAGTGCTGGAGAGGGTTACAGGAACCATGGCACTTTCTATGGATGATACCCCAGTGGTTGGCCACAGCAGCAGTGTGATCCTGTGTGCAGGGAATGAGGTAGCAATGATGGCCACACATACACACACACACACACACACACACACACACACACACACATCCCTTTGGGGATGAGCAAGCAGATTTATCTGAGCCTTATCTCTCAAAATTCACCTTGTGTTGTTGAGCTTTGAGGAGGATTACCCACCTCACCTACGCCAATTCTTCCTATCAGGTCATGGAAGAGATTGCTTCCCAGGAGAGAAATATTGCAGATCTTGAAAAAGCCATTCTTGACCAGGAAGGGCCTGCCAAGGTGGCCCACACGCGCCTGGAGACCAGGACCCACCGGCCTAATATAGAGCTGTGTTGTGATGTTGCTCAGTATCGGCTGATTCAGGAAGTGGATGAGATTGCCTGCAATATTGCAAGGTAAGCCAGCAGCAGGACAGAGGGGCCTTTGGGGTCCTCACATTATAGGGATCCCTCCCTAGAGCCTTAGCGTTTACTCAGGCAGCTGTGGGAAAAGTGGATCTCAGCATTAACTTCCTTAAAGAAGCTCAAATCCAGAAGTTCAGAGAAAAATCTGTGGTCCTGGGGCTTGAACTGTCCCTTAGCTTTTTCACTCAAGGTTTCTGCTCTATCACTTGAGCCACAGCTCCACTTCTGGTTTTTTGATTACTAATTGGAGATGAGAACCTTATGGACATTCCTACCTGGGCTGTCTTTGAACCATGATTCTCTGCTCCAGCCTCCTGAGTAGGTAGGATCATAAGCGTGAGTTTGTGGTTTTAAATATTGGCATTTGGACTGAAGATACAAGCTCAAGTGGTAGAGTGCTTGCCTTAGCAATGCCAAATCCTGAGTTAAAAATACACATTTTATGTTATATACTTTATATATTTACACATAAACACACGTAGGCAATGGCAACCAATCAGAAATCTAGGGCGCCATCCTTTTGACTTCCACCTTGATACCCATTCAAGTGTGTCTCCCGGAAAGGGGTGTGGAGAGGAGTCAGTCCTGGTGTTGTTGGTTCTCCCCCCAGGCTTAAGGAGTTCCTGCACCAGGCCAGGGTGGAGCTGAAGGGGCTGCACCAGCGGCAGCTGGCCCTGCAGGAGGAGATCCAGGTGAAGGAGCATACCATCTACATCGACGAGGTGCTGTGCATGCACATGCGGCAGTCCATCCCGCCACGCGATGGCGAGGAAAAGGGCAGCTGGGCCGGGGGCATCCGCCCAGACGCCGTTTGCTCCTAGGGCGCCACGTTCCCATTAAACCACGTTCCACATCCACAGCAGGAGCCCCCATTTCATTACACATCGACAGCACAAAACTCTCTTTAGGCCGGCAGGGGCTTGGGGCACACCCACCGCGGCCTCTAGGTGGGGTCCCCTACACACAGATTTCTAGGGGCCAGGGCTTATGCGCGGGGGGGGGGGGGGGGGAGGGTGGAGAGGGAAGGGTTGGTTGAGTTGGTTGAGGGATGGGGAGGCCCGCATGGCCAGGAAGGAGGCGGGGCCAGGCGGGAAGGGGGCATAACGGAGAGGGGGGGAATTCTGGTGAGGGGCGTGTCTGGTAGGGAGGGCGTGGCTACGAGGGGTTTGGCCTCTATATGGTGTGGCCAATAGGGATGGGCCTGGCCAAGTGTGGGCGTGGCTAGGAGGAGGTCCCTGCAGGTCACAGCCCCCTCCCTCCCCTCCGCCCCCCATGTGCAGATGAAATCCCCTGTGCAGATGAAATCCCCTAGAAATCCCCTTGTGCAGATGAAATCTCCTAGAAATCCCCATGTGCAGATGAAATCCCCTAGAAAGTGACATGGTGGCTCCTGGTTCGTGGCTCAGTAGTAGAGTGCTTGCCCCGTATGCATGAGGTCCTGGGTTCAATTCCTCAGCACCACATAAGCAGAAAAAGCCGGAAGTGGTACTGTTCAGGATCCAGGCATCTCTGGTCTCTGTGTAGCTGCCTCACAGGGGATGGTATGAGAATCTGTGAACGGTTTTATGGCCCAGCCTGTCTCACCTGTCTCAATAACCCTATACTACCACCATTTCTGCACAGTTGTTCTGGCATAGTCTCAATTTTCATGTTTTCTCAATTTTGTATTGCACCCATTTTTCATGTTGCTGTATACTAACGATTGCATACCTCTTTTAAAAATTTTGCCAGGACCAGGCACAGGTGGCTCACGTCTGTAATCCTAGCTACTCAGGAGGCTGAGATCTGAGGATCATGGTTCAAAGCCAGCCCAGGCAGGAAACTCCGTGAGACTCTTATCTCCAAATAACCACCAGAAAGCCAGAAGTGGCACTGTGGCTCAAGTGGTAGAGCGCTAGCCTTGAGCTGAAGAGCTGAGGGACAGCGCCCAGGCCAGAGTTTAAGCCCCATGACCGACCAAAAAAAAAAAAAAATCACCAAGGCTGGGAATGTGGCTTACTGGTAGAGTGCTTGCCTAGCATGCATGAAGCCCTGTGTTTGATTTCTCAGTACCACATAAACAGAAAAAGCCAGAAGTGGCACTGTGGCTCAAGTGGTAGAGTGCTAGCCTTGAACAAAAGAAGCCCAAGGATAGTGCCCAGGCCCCGAGTTCAAGCCACAGGACTGACAAAAAAAAAATTACCAAGCCAGTGAAAGCATTAATGACTCATATCTGTAATCCTAGTTACTTGACAGGCTGAGATTGGAGGATGGAGGTTCAAAAAGCCATTATCTTCAATTAACCAGAAAAAAATGCTGAAATGGAAGTGTGGCTTAAGTACTAAAGCACCAGCCATAAGCAAAAGAGTAAGTGATATCTTGAGGCCCTGGCTCAAGCCCTAGTATGGGCACAAAACAACAAGAACAGAAAGTTTTTGCTATCTTTGTTTGACATATTTCATGTCCAAATGGTGTTCTACTCACAGCAACCCCAACTGAGTCCTAGCAAATGGGAACATATCTGATGGACTGCTATATGAAGACTTTTGCAGCAGGGTACAGGTGGTTCACGCCCATAATCCTAACTATTCAGGAAGCTGAGATAGGAGGATCCTGATTCAAATCCAGACTAGAAAGACACATCTGAGAGACTTATTTCCAATTAGCTACTAAAAAGCCAAAAGTGGAGCTATAGCCCAAGTAGTAGAGCACCAACTTTGAGTGACAAAGCTAAGGGAGAGTTCAATTCCAGTACTAGCACAAAAAATGAAAAGATCTTTGTTGTAGTTATCTGCCCATCCATTTCACCAATAGCACATTCCAAGGGCGGGGTTCAAGTCACCCTCACAATGCCTAGGACCCTCTCCGTCTAGCCTGATGTGAAGAGCATGTTTAGTGCTTCTTTACCCTCAACTGTTCTGACCACCCCGCTTCTGAGCATCAGGTTTGATGACTGAGCAGACTTCCCATATCCATGAGGGAGTGTCTGGGTGCTTTTGTGCTGTAGCTGGCTCAAAACACACCCCTCTCCAGCTTAGAGAGAGACCCCAGGATTAGCACCAGCTTAACAGGTTCCAGGACTGGGCCCAGGGCTGTGGCCAGCTGGCTGTAAGGAGCCTTTCTCTCTCTGACTTCCTCCTGGAGGCCCCACCCTAGCTGTCAGTTCAGACCACAGGCTCTGTGGTTCCTGGTCACTCCTGTGGGCACCACCAGCTTCCTGAAGTGGATCCAGAAGTGAACTTCCCTGAACTTCAGCTGCCCCTTCTGAAAATGGAAAGGGCCTAATGAGGCCCTAATCTGTGCAATAAAGGAGCTGAGAATCTCAACACAGTGTGGTACGTGCTGTGTTTGTGGGAAATGTTATTTTGACTGGGGTGAAGGCCACTTCTCAATATGTAAGCAGCAGGAAGGGTACAGATGAATAGAAAGGAAGAGGGGGGAGGAATGCAGTCATTAAATGTCATTAAATTCAATACATAACCGGGTACAGGTGGCTCACACCTATAATCCTAGCTACTCAGGAGGCTGAGAGGTGAGGATCACGGTTCAAAGCCAGCCCCGGCAGGAAAGTCTGTAAGACTCTTATCGCCAATAAACCACTCCGAAAACTGGAAGTGGTGCTGTGGCTCAAGTGGTAGAGTGCTTACCTTGAGCTGAAGAGCTGAGGGACAGCGCCCGGGCCTAGAATTCAAGCCCCACAACTGAGGAAAAAAAAAAATCCAATTCTGCAAAATTAACATCATGAAGGGAAGAGGTAGGGTTGGAAGGGGTAGGAGAGACTAATGAAGGCGGTGACATTAATAAAGATGCATCTGATTCATAAACTGCTTTGTTAAGTGGTAACTCCTTTGTTTTGTTTTGTTTTTGGCCAGTCATGGGGCTTGAGCTCTGGGCTTGTGCACTGTCCCTGTGCTCTTGAGCTCAAGGCAAGCACTCTACCGCTTGAGCCACAGCGCCATTTCCAGAGTGGTAACTTCTTTGTACAACTACAAGATTATAAAAAGATTATAAAGATTATAAAAATATAATTTAAAAATGTAAACATAAGTGTCAGAAGTATAAAAACTTTAAGGAAAGTAATTTCTGTTTGCTTACATACTTGCAGAATCTCATTTGGCATTACATGTAAAAGGATCAATGAAAGGATCTGTCACATCCATGCCAGGGGACCACATGAAGGCAGGCAGGCACAGGAGAAAGATTTTTACAAGGTTTTTTTAGAGGAGCCATTCTTCTCCCAGAGAGAGTACATGGCGGCCTCCACTATCTAGGTAGCAGCAGGGTCTGGGGTTAGGAAGTGGTATGGATGGGAGCTCAGGTGGGTCTGGGCAGAGAGAGGGAGGGGCCAACTGTATGGCAGGAACTCCAGGGCATGGAGGAGCTCAGGTCTGGATGGAGCTGAGGACCAAAAGTGGGTATAATGCTTACAACATGTTTTTGTTTTGGTTTTTGTTTCTGTTTTTCTGTGCCTGTATGGGGCTTGAACTCTGGGCAACTCTACCACTTGAGCTACACTTCCACTTTCAGCTTTTTGCTGGTTCATTGGAGATGAGTCTTATGGATGTGTCTGCCCAGGCTGTTTTCAAACCATGGTCATCAGATCTCAGCCTCTTGAGTAGCTAGGATTACAGTCGTGAACCACCAGTGCCTGGCTCTGACATTACATATTTCATCAGTTCCATAGAGGGTATATGGTATATACAGCCATCCCATGGTTGCAAAAGCCAAATAGACACCAAATACAACCTGTTTTTGACCCACCAATCAGATACCCTGTCAGGAGAAAATAAAACCTTATTTGAGCTGGGCACCAGTGGCTCAATGCCTGTAGTTACTCAGGAGGCTGGCCTTTTGATGATTAATTGGAGATGAGTCTCACTGACTTCCCTACCTTCACTGGCTTTGAACCACAGTCCTCTGATCTCAGGCTTCTGAGTAGCTGGATTACAGGGATAAGCTAACTGGCACCTGGCTATTTATTTATGCCAGGGCTGAATTCAGGACCTGGGCACTATCCTTTAGGTTTGTCACACAAGGCTGGTTCTCTGCCACTTGAGCAACAACTCCATTTTAGGCTTTTTGGTGGTTCATTGGAGATAAGAGTTTCAGAGTTTGCTGTCTAAGCTGGCCTTGCACTGTGACTCTCAGATCTCAGCCTCCTGAGTAGCTAGGCTTGCAGGCCAGAACTGCAGGTACATGGCAATCTATAGTATTCCTAATTGGCACAATGCTAGGATAGGTTCAGTAGGGAATGGCAGGCAAGAAAGCTAAATGTCCCAAGGCACCTACAGGTTCAGGACACCTGACTGCAGACTCGCTTCTTCTCACTATGGCTTTGAGCTTATTTTTCGGCACTCAACCATGTGGAATGATCTGGTATAAACAGGTCTGTATAGCACAATCTCTCTTTGCTGGCTGCCACTCTTCGACTCTGTGGTGCTGTTGGGAGTCTGTCTCTGGGAATCAGGCTTGTGAGTGCCTAGCATACATGAAGCCCTGGGTTCCATTCTCATACCACATAAACAGAAAAAGCTGAAGTGGTGCTGTGGCTTAAGTGATAGAGTGCTAGCTTTGAGCAAAAGAAGCTCAGGGACAGTGCTCAGGCCCTGAGTTCAAGCCCAAAGACTGAAAAAAGGAAAAAGCTGGGTGCTGGTGGCTCACACCTGTAATCCTAGCTACTCAGGAGGCTAAGAGCTGAGGATCATGGTTCAAAGTCAGCCTGGGCAGGAAAGTCTGTGAGACTCTTATCTCCAATAAAACACCAGAAAACCAGAAGTGGCACTGTGGCTCAAGTGGTAGAGTGCTAGCCTTGAGCTGAAGAGCTGAGGGACAGCACCCAGGCCCAGAGTTCAAGTCCCACAACTGACAAAAAAAATCTTA